AAAAAACCAAAGGGAAGTCTAAACAAGTGTCAAGTACTCTGAAACGATTTCATTTCTATGATAATTCTTCTAGTATAGTAGTATACCTCTAGTGATAGTGCATCTATCATGACGATTAAATAAATATTTACTCGAACTAGACCTCATCACAGCAATAACCCATGACAATTCATTGCTAGAATATGAACCTTCTATGGGTTTGTCGTAATTCTCCACATTTGACAAGCGGGTGGGGAGTGCTGTTACCCAAAATTTCATCATGAGCATAAGCAAGCATCTACAGTAAACTAGACCCCAGGACTTCCAAAAGTCTCATTCCCTTAAAATCAATCCATCTATACCGAATATTCTCAAAAAAACAATAGACATTTTGCGAACACGACCGTCATTTCGAACGTCTGGAACAGTGTGACAAAAATAGTCTCGTATGAGTTTACATTCCACGTGGTTACGTCACTAGCCGGGCGTTAAAATAGAATATATTATTTTGGAATACGTTGCCAACAGACGTATCAATAAAATGAAATTGTGTATTGGTTAAAGGATTCTGTGGTCGATGGAATAGAATTCGTTTTCTTTGGAAATTACTTTGAATTACTAATTGTGACAAACATTTTTTTAATTTTCTACACGTCTGTTTCGAAAACCTTGCGATTGGCTGCAATTTTACTGATGAAACTTTTCGTGTGAGATAGTTTTTAAGACTTTGACTGCCAACAAAAAACGGTTGAAAGTAAATCCTCCGCTAACGCCGGTCACCGGTGACCCCCATGGCGTTTAACGTGTTAATGGATACTTACGTTATGATATGCTCAATTTCGACATAAAGAAACTTTTACCCTTTGTTCATCATCATCATCATATCAGCTGTGGACGTTCACTTTTGAACATAGGCCTTCCCCAATGACGTCCAGATAAGCAGGTTGGAAGCAACCTGCATCCAGCAGCTCCCTGCGACCTTAATCAGGTGATCTTACTGCTTTGTTCGTTTAGTGCCAAAAATGGTTTATAATTACATAACATCACGCCTTTATATCCCCGAAGGGGTAGGCAGAGGTACACATTTCGGCACTTAATTCGGCCACTGTACAAAGTAACACCCACTTTTCACTATTTATGTTATGAGTCCCATGTAATAGGGGGTGAGCCTATTGCCATATACCGGGCACATTTCCAGACTCCGTGTTACTACTGAGATTTTTGAAAAACCCAGTAATACTTTGCCCGACCTGGGAATCGAACCCGAGACCTCTTGTCCGGCAGTCGCACTTGCGACCACTCGGCCAACGTGGTTAATAATTGTATACGTAATAGTTGTTTCAAGACCTCGTGATGTAGTTTGATTAATAAAAATCATCTGGAATAAGCTATCACTAAGATATAAGGTATAATCATTTTAACTGCACGGTTGGCGCGTTGGTTGGGCAACTGACTGCCGTGCAACGTGTCGTGGGTTCGACTCCCGCACGGAACAACTCTTTGTGTGATCCACGGATTGTTGTTTCGGGTCTGGGTGTCATGTGTATGTGAACTTATATGTTTGTAAACGCATCCACGATACAGGAGAAAATCCTAGTGTGGGGCAACGTTTTTTTTTAAATAGAATTAAAATAAAAATAATCATGCATGCACTGCTGGTATATGGGCCTGCTACATGAGAGGGTCTGTCAAAATCTCCACGTTTGGCAGATAAGTTGGAAATCGCAGTTTGATAGGTCCAGAAATATCTGGTAAGTGCTGCTGCCTGCTCTCTGTCAAATGTCTCCTTTAGTCGGCTCATACAAAACCCATCAAAAAGTATTTCTATTCTGCTGTCACCACTTTGCTTTAAGTGTGGGAGAGTCATGCGTTTGGCACGAATGGGCGAGCTCGGCAGAAAACCGATGTGAAACAACGTTTGCGTTGTGTTTCGTCGTGTGAATGAGGTTACCAGAGGCCCAATTATCCCCCCCCCCCTGCTTCCCCATTCTCCCAATCTTTGCATACCCAACAATCCTCAAGAGGTTGGTAACGCACTTGTAATGCCTCTGGTGTTCCATGGGTGACGCCGATTGCTTACCATCAGGTGACCCGTCTGCTTGTTTACCGGCTTATCCCATAAAAAAACAAACGACAAAATCAGAAAATCTCATAACAACTCATCCCTTTAAAAAATTAGACGTGTACCTAAAATACCAACTGCCTAGCCATGAACGATGTCAGCTTGAACTTTGAACTACTGAAGTGGGATTTACATGACATTTTAAAAGCTTTCCATTTTGTGTTGACGTGCGAAATATAATCTGTGGTATTGGTTTACCTGTGGTTATCTTGTGCCAGATATTTATGTGGCTTGAAGATGTTTCCGTGTTCAATGCCAATCTTCATCGAAGATAGAGACTTCGTACTTGATGATAACATTTATGACCATAAAACTAACGACGTAGTCTAGAATTACTAGGTATTTATTAAACACTAGCTTCTGCCAGCGGCTTCGCCCGCGATCCCAGGGGTAAAATGCCTATGTATCACTTCAGACCATAATCTACCTCTGTTCCGAATTTCATTCCGGTCCCTTCAGTCGTTTTAATATGACTGAGTAACAAACATACACATAAACTCACATATTTTCATTTATAATATCGAGTCAAGCTAATTTCAACCATTGGCCTTTCAGTAAAATACAATCAGAAATCACCGAATTGCTAAGCTATCGGGAGTTTCACGTGTTATGGTGAATCAACCATAAAAGATAGACATATGCTGTCGAGGAATATTTTTTATATAATTTGAAGGAGAATATTTCCGTCATACATGATTTCTATGTAGCTTTAACCTATAAGCCTGCACACGCGACGGAAGCTTAAAAAATGGAGTAACTTCTCCCGTTTTCCCAATATTTCCCTTCACTGCTCTGCTCGTATTAATCGTAGCGTAATGTAAAGTATACTATAACCTGCCCAAGAGTATGAAGAATAATTGTGCCAAATTTCGTTAAAATCCGTCGAGTAGTTTTTGTTTCCATAACGAACATACAGACAGACAGACAGACAAAAATTTTACTGATTGCATTTTTGGCATCAGTAGCGATCCTTAACCATCCCTTGATAGTTATTTTTTCAATATATTTTATGTACAGAATTGACCTCTCTACAGATTTATTATAAGTATAGATTACTATAAACACTACACACACAACAGTTTGACTATTATACACAGTAGGTTCGTATACATAAATTTAACATTAATTAAAATCATACAGGCTAAACTACTTAATTCTTCAATATTTAGGATTGTCTGCATTGGTCAAGTACCCTTGCAATAAGGGCGAATTTTTGATTACCTATCGAATATTCTCCGGAATAGCAAGATCAGATAAAATATGAGAATCAGAATCAGATTCTCATATTTTATTTACTCTCATCAGATCATCAGATACTCAAGATGAGAATCAGATCCCGCACGGAACAACACTTTGTGTGATCCAAAAATTGTTGTTTGGGGTTTGGGTGTGATGTGTATGTGGAATTGTATGTTTGTAAAACCCACGACCTGTGCCCACGACACAGGAGAAAATCTGATATGTAGAATGCAGTTTGCAATTGTACCCTGTGTAACATGTATGGTGTTAGTGTTCAATAACTATTATATAGACTTAACAAAAATGTCGGGAAGTCGATATCACATTTATTTATTTTGATATTTGCACCTCTTTGCCCCGAACACGTGATGATAAATAGGTGTGCTAAGTAGGAAAAATAAAATCACCATAATACTTTCATAATAAGAAAATTTTATTTAATAGTTTCATTAAAATATCGTCACAGATGCCCAGTTTGTTCGTAAACAAACATAAAAACAAATAATTTATTAGACAGATACAGTTCCTACAACCATCTTGTGCGTTGGTTTGTTTAAATAAAAATTAACAATTACTTATAACTAATAATCTCAATAAAAAGAAAGAGATTCATTGTTATAAAAACAAAGATCCATTTTCATTTTAAAAATTAATTTTACATACACATTAAAAATGAACTAATTACAATTTTATCAATAGTTACTTAAAGATTAAAATTCAACAACAGATCTGTAAAAATTCTAAAAAATGGTCGTCTATTTTGTACAATGATTTTTCTATGTTTATTTGCTTTTTTTTATTTTATTTTCTAACTAATAATCTCGCGGATCACTTGTTTTGTAGAGATCTTTTTTATGCTTGTAATATTTTTATACGTAATATAAATGCAAAAACAATTGCGGCGTAAACGTCTGTAAGCCATTTTCTTTTTCAAAGATATAATCTGACGAAATTGTTTTTGAGCAGATATTTATATCAACGAAAGAGAAGTAAGTTTCTAGAGATATTACTATTTACTAAAGCGTCAAGTCATGTGACAAAAGATCTCCAATTACATTATTTTAAGTGGATTTCAATAAAGTATTTACTCCGAACAAATCTTCGACATTAAGGCACTGATTCTCATATTTATGTACAACATTTTATGTACATTGTAAGGCACTTACACCTGTATACATAGTAGTTAATATGTAAAATTAATTATAATAAGCACCTTATCTAACTGGAAGACGTAATCTAATAGATATGTACAATCTTGCTTACAAACATGTCTTTTACTCAAACAATTTTAAAACTAATGTACTTCTTTAATGTCAAAATGTATTGTATCAACACTCGTTTCATTCAAAATCCAAAAATCAAAGGCTTGCAAAAACATCAACTTTCAACATATTTTTTTTCAACTTACACTCAGAAAATCTTGCCAAAAGAACAGACCTTAAAATTTATAATAAAATTAATCAGTCTCGACATGAGAAGAGTTTTAAAACAACCTTTAGTTTCTTGTGCACCATTAACAGATCTTATAAATTACTTATTTTACTTACATCAGTTGCTTACAAAGACTAAATATGTATAAAAATGTTCATTAGATCGACTCTGCATTGACTAAACAAACCACTATAAAAAGTTATAGAAATAATTCCACGTATAATTAAAATTATTGAATCATTTGGAGGTATTGGTTCTCTTCATAAAACGAAGACAATGACGTTTGCAGATCATTTACAACCATATTGTCACCACCCTGCAAGGGATGCGTGCTACTCGACACCATTTCCGAACTCTTCCAATTTTCACAACTTTCCACGTACTCTAAAGTCCTTTGATACGTTTCTTGCCTCATGGTGTTAGCATTTTGGTTCTTTTTTCTTCCATTATTGGCTTCTATCTGCGACTGAGATATGTCCCACACTTGCACTTCACTCGTTGGATTGTTCTGACTTCTCAAGCTGTTCATACTGCAGTCAGTCTGCTGTTCTCCCTTCATCTGATTCTGATTCATCGGTACCCTCGCTCCGTTCACCGGCTTTTGACTACCAGTTGACATGTTCATGGAGTTCTGTACAGACTTCTGCATGTTGTGCTTGTTGAACTGGTTTCCTGGGTAGTCCCACTGGTTATACGGCCTCTGATGGTTGTAATACTGGTTGTTGTTCAACATTGTTTGATTGTACTGGTGGTTGTTCTTCGGAGGAGGTGGTCCCATCACATTGGCAGCATTCACAACCGAGTTATATGGCGGTGGTTGTGGGTACTGCATGTTCTGGTTGTATTGCGCATTTTGCATCGGCGGACATTGGTTCTGCTGCTCGCAGTAGTTGTTCATCGTCCCTCTGCTCATGTTACCACTATTGTCTACACTCATCATCGATGATCTCGACATTTGCAGTGGATGCATCTGGTTGCTTTGGTTCGTGTAGTTCACTGGTTGGTAGTTCATCTGGTTGTTGTACACCATGTTCTGGTTGCCCATTTGATGCATCGGCATCTGGTTTTGATTGTATTGTTGCATCATCTGATATTGCTGCATGTTTTGGCTTCTCATCATGTTCTGATTCTGTACTGGGTAAGGCGGAGCTTGGTTGTATTGTTGATTGTGATACTGGTTCATGTTATTTCTATTCGGTACCTTAGCGTTACAATTTCTGTTGTTCATGTAATTTGGATTGACTGCCATTTGTTGACCTTGGTTCATGTTCATATTCATCATCTGATTTTGGTTTGGAACCTGTGTGTTCATTGTCATGTTGGACATATTTTGCACCATTGGGCTTGTCATGCCTTGTCCCATAGGGCTTTGTAGGCCTGGATGCATGGGACTCGGCATGCCGTGACTATGTGGGCTGGCTATATTTTGACCCATTGGACTTGCCATGTTAACCATAGGACTAGCCATGTTCTGTGACATGGGGCTGCCAATATTGTTGTGTCTTGGACTCATCATCATTTGATTTGGCATTTGTGGGCTCATCAAGCTTTGCATGCTTTGTGGGCTCATTGCGTTATGTTGGGGAGACATGACACTCATGACACTTTGTGGGCTCATGACGTTATACACACTGGGAGGGCTCATTACATTGTGAGGTATGTTGTGAGGACTCATGACACTCTGCGGGCTCATAGCACTATGAGGAAGACTTTGTGGACTAAGCATGCTATGCGGTAAGTTCTGTGGGCTTAACACATTCTGATTCATGACTACAGTTTTAGGACTCATCGCGTTCTGTTTCTGAGGTAATGGATTTGCTCTCATCCTATTCGTTTGTTCTGTTTGGTTGGCAGTCATTGTCTGCAATGACTGTAAAGGATTCGTTGGTATGTTGTTTGAAGGCGGTTTAGTGTACTCCTTTTCGCATTTTTCTGGAACAACTTCTGGTATCACTTGTTCTTGTAAGGGAGTACCCTTATCATCAGGCGACTTGGAGTTGAGCAAGGAGCCGCTGTTACCCGACATACTAACGTCTAGAGATCTTAAATCGACTGGAATATCACTTATGTTGAGATCACTTCCTATGGCACCTAAGTTTTTAAGTAGAGAATCGTCACTGGTGGCTACGTCACTAATTTTGTCACTGGAATTGTTTGTGTTAGGGACGTCACTAGTTGCATTGTCTTTGGTAGCACTTTCCTTGTCTTTTGAGGTTTCCTGCTCAGGTTGGTTGGTGGAGTCAGTTTTAGCTGGTGTTACCGATTCCGTTGCCAATATTGATTGGTTAAGATATTGCATCATTTCATCTGGTATTACCAGCTTGTTTTCCACCATTTCACCTTCGGCAACCTGAAATGAAAGAAATCATTAGAATGTGAACTTCAAACGATACTTGCCAAAAATAATTTTTATGTGTCAGTAAGAACCTAGCTGTGGTAAATACTAAAAAGACTACGATGACGATGATTATCTTACCTGTTCCAGATTGACCTCCTGGTTGGGGTGGTGGACCTGCGCCGTGGTGATGACGACAGTGTTGGTGGAGTTAGAACGAGACTCTTTGTACGTCACCGTGTCTTGGTCATCTTCTGTCTTGAATGGGAATGGTGCATCACCCTGAATAAAAATAGATTATTAATAATGATGTGCCCAAAATTTACGACATGGCGCTAAGAAAGCGCGAGATCGTGTTTGTTCAATCAGTTTAGCTGTTACAAATTGTCTTATCAATAACTAGATGTTTCATATTCAAAACAGTTTGACTCATAAAGTACAATAACTTACCACATCATCAGTTCCACAAGGGTACTGCTGGTACTGGGCCTGGTCGCTCAGGTTGGACTGTTCGGACAGTCTCCTGGCTTCCTCCTTCACTTGTACATTAGGGTCAAGCTCCAGCGCTAACTCCTCAGCTCGTACTTCTGAACAGGTCACTCCTCGGAGGAGAACGGCCTGGAAAACGAATTCTAGGGTTACATACTATCCAAAGGAAGATGTCTTCGTGGAAGACAGTTTTGCAGTAACTTATGAAAGGTTTACACACATATTTTGTATCAGTTGCCAATATTCAATATGGTTAAACCTTACCTGATTGCCTTGAGATGTTCTGACGGCTTGTACAGCAGCGAGTGCTGATGATGGCGCTGGGGCATAGCCCACACAGGAAACTTGACTAGATCTGAAATAAAAATGAAGGGTGAATATGACTTTTCAAATTGAAATAAGACATCACAACAAATAGTTGAAGGGCTACCCTTAGATATTTTTTCATTACCGGGTGAATGAAAGGGTGAAGTCCGTTCCAATCAAATTTAGACAAAGAATTTCTAAAAGAAGCATAACTATAAGAATTATGTATTCATGTTGAAAAAACCGGGTGTTTCGTCATTTATAATCTGCAGTCATGCTTATCGCCCTGTGCATGTTGTGCTGCTGTGGTGGACCGGAGATACCGCCCGCTTCTCATGCATGAGAGTGCGGGTACTAATGTGACATTTCCGATTTATATGTACTTTCTAAGATTATTCAGACACCACTGACAAACGGTGAAGAAAAACATTGTGATAATTTCAAATTATAAGTTTGAAATCTCCAACCCGCATTGAGCCAACGTGGTGATTAATGCTCAAACCATCTGAGTGTGAGAAGAGGCTTACGATTTACATTCCTAATGTGATTATCTTACCTTCTACTGCTGTCAGGAGAGAGTTGGTCATAGACAGTAGTGTGCTGTGACACTAGGCGCTGCGGCCCGGCGACGCCTGTCGTGGTCGCCACCGCACCCGACACGACTGATGCTTGGCTGCTCTTCCGTGATATGTCTGATGATCTACAGGAACAATATTTTGAATTGAGGTGGGAGCCTGGAGATCCGTCACACAGGGAATCCTAGTATGGACTCCAGTCTCTTACAAAGGAGTACATTGTTTGCATCTGATTATTGTATCTTATTTCTGTGAAATATTCTTTGTGTAGAGAGATAATAAATAAATTTATTATTTATTTATAATGAGTTATTAAAAGATTCCATATCATGCTTTGAATACCTTTACCTTGACCCCTGGATAAAATCAATGCTACTACTTAAATCGTGTCCTTTAATATAATTATAATGTTTAGTTGAAAGTAGGAGTACTTTCTAAGATTATTTAGACACCACTGACAAACGGTGACGGAAAAACATCGTGAGGAAACCTGGACTTATAATTTCTAATTATAAGTTTGAAATCGCCAACCCGCATTGAGCAAGCGTGGTGATTAATGCTCTAACCTTCTCTGTGTGAGAAGAGGCTTTGCTCAGCAGTGGGCATTAATGGGCTGTTGATGATGATGAAAGTAGGAGTGACCTATTTACCTTGCACTGTAGAGACTGCTGCCAGATGAGATACCAGAATCCCGCCTGGTGTTCGGAACTCCTGTCTTCAGTTCTACTGCAACACTGGTGCTGCCAAGCTCAGTTCTTCCTGGTAGTCCACCTGCTGATAAAAACCCTGGTCATTAGAATATGTATGAAACTATGACATAATATCTAAAGCTTTCCCTTTTGTTTCGTTTGGCAGAAAAATCTGGTGTTTCTTCTATAAAAACTAAAAGACTTTTCTGTACTAACTATATTACTAGATTTTTTTAGAGATAGGAATGGCAATTAGACAGGCATCAAGAGTGTCTAACAAAAAAATAAACTAAATTTAAACACCATAGGGACAGTACGAATCAGCATCATAACTGACGAAATACATACCAGGGCCAATATCTGGATGTGGTGGCGGCATTAATCTCGCGACCGCCATCTTATTTCCGAACCTCGGCGCGTGGTGATGTGCTCGCGGCTCTCCAATAGCCACCATGGCTCGAAGCATTAGGGGCAGTTGACCAACTTCACCTACAACTTCTTGTTCAACCTGGAAGAAGATAAAACATTGATTACAATGCTAATTTATATTATGGAAGCAATAAAGACTCTAACAAATCGTGAAAAATATTGAACAGAAGACTTAAACATAAGATTAACTAACTAGACAGACGTGCTATTTTTAACAGAGCCGTATTCTTTTTTAACCCTTTGAGTACCGTCCTTATAGACACAATTAAAGAACAATAGGTTGCGGTCACCGGTGTCCTCGTGGTGTTTGACAGTTTAAGGCACCATTAGCCAAAATTACTAATTTTGAAAACGAAAATATTTGGACTGTAGATAATAAATATTGCAACCCAATAAGTTCATCACCATCGGTATCATGATATCAATCATAACAGGTCACTGCACTGACAAACTGTTGAACATAGGCCTCCCACTACCTTGAACTAAAATAGTTATAAGATATTCCATTAGGTATTTAAGACTTACCTCTCCATCCAGCCTGAAGTAAGGAGCACCGTTCTCATCCCCGAAGCCGCCCAGACCAGAACCACCGAAATCCAGTTCCCCACCACACTGGGCAGATAGCTGATGGATGAAATAAGATATCTAATTTAGTAATAATCAAATCCTTTATATCAGCTAACCTTGTTCTACCGAAATCCATGGATGAATATGTAAATAGATGCTGAGAAAAAACATCATTGCTACTTTTCTTTGAATATTATGTTTGTTCAGTAGGTTAATAATTGAATTTGTCGAAAACTATATTCAGTATAAGCTTTGATCATGGGACACATCTTCTAAATAGTGGAAAGTAGATATGTCATTTAATTTTGATATGAGCTCCTCTTTTTATGTTATCTAGACTAAACCGTCTCTCACAATAGAACACATAATAATTATTTATATCAGAATTAGTAAAGTACTGAACGATTTTAGTTATAAATATAAACAAATGATCATAAATGTTCCAAATACCTGATGAGCAGGAGTATGCAATCCATGCGGTATTGGTGAGGCTGGACTTTCACTCTTGACAGAGGCTGATGATGTGTGTCCTCTGACACCGATGGGCACTCCACCCTCTTCAGAACGGGGAGAAGATCCTGCTCCACCACCACCTGATTCCGCTGAATCATCACCACGACTGCAACCTGAAAAATGGAATCGTAATATCAAGTTAAAAGGATAATCTTTTCGAAACGACTAGGCTGTATCTAGATCTTTATGAATTTAATATATTTTAATAGACTTGTGAATTTGCTGAATTTAAAAAAGATTGCCAAGTTTTACAATATAGTTTATATGTACTTGATGCTATATGATCATCATTGGACTCAATAGTATATCAACAAATGTTATTTACATTGATTAATGATGATGACATTGTTTTTGTACCCCTTAACGTTTCAGTTTACTTAGTCATATTATTGAATATCTCGATAAAGTTTTGATAACCCGAATCTAATTAAAATAAACCAATCTTTACCTTTATGCTTCTTACTGGCGTAGAACTCAGCGCCATGCACAGTTTTCACGTGTTTCCGTAACGATGAGGGATCCGTATATCTCTTCGTACACCCTGGCGCTTTGCAAACGTACGGTTTCTGAAATAATATAGAGTCAAAATTAAAAAAAAAGTACCACTGATGGATAAAACTTCAAAAACAATACCCTCTTCATGCTACTTCTTTAGATAGTAATTCATAATTACAAAAACTATCATCTATATCAACTATCATTTTCTAATATTCTGATCAAAATCCGTTTATGAAATAACAGAACTTACCTCATTACTATGTGTCCTGTTCTGATGCTTAGCTCTGTCGCTAGCATTTGAGAAAGCCTTCGCACATCCAGGATATTCACAAGTATAAGGTTTCTCTCCTGTATGACTTCGTAAGTGGGTCTTCAGGTTTTCAAGTCGGGAGTATGCTTTACAGCATCCTTCAAACTGTGGAAGATTAAAGAATGAGTTAAATAAAGTAAACATAAAGGTCAATAAAGAAACTTGTAACTCTTGAAAGGTAGAATGGAATGGAAAATGCACGAACTTCCCGATTGGGTCAGTTCTTCATTGATCCTCAATATAAAAACGACATAGTTATATTAATCATAGTTCCAATACAGGAAAAGAATATAAACAGTTCAACAAACTATGTCTATTTCGTATAAGTTCTCTTTTGTAATCCATTTTTTTTTTATGGGGGAAAATCATCGAATGACTGCTCCCGCCTGGTTGAGGCGGGAGGGAGTGTCAGACTCTTACTGACTAAAAAACTACCCCGTTCCTTCTCCTGCACGTCAAGCCACAGCCCCGGTTACCCGTTAGGTTCTCCGCGACTTTTATAATCTATGGGTCTTGTTGACACTTTCGACACAAAAGACCATTCCAACCTTCATCAATAATTATAATATTTCAAACAATACTCACCGTACACTTATGAGGCTTCTCTCCTGTATGTCTTCTCATATGTACAACCAACATATATTGAGCTTTGAAGGGTTTTTCATCTCTGGAGCATCCCACCCAGCGGCAGACGAAAGCCTTTTTGCTGGCGTGGATATGATCTGTATTGATATGTTTCACCAGGTCATCTTGCGTTGGGAACTCTAGTTTGCAATCCACCTGGATAACAAAATGATCAGATTATAGAAAAAGAGGGGAAGACAAGTTATGTTTCTGTGACTCACTAAAAACTGACTGTAAGAACGAGTGACTGTAAAAAATTGGGGGATGACCGAAATCTGGAAGATGTACCTCCCACTAGGTGGACCGAAGACATTGTCGAGAGTCACGAGAAACCATCACTTATAATTGGCGAGTTGTTGTTCAGCGTGGATGATTAACCCCTCGAGCGTCCTTATGAGCACCCGGTGGATCATAAGAAAAATGGTCCCTGCTGCTTTTTCTTTTATAAAATCTATTAACTATTAATGTTTTGTTTTTATTTTAACTGAATTTTTCTTTCTATTGTAATGATCCTTGTTTTCGTGTACCAATGGCCAAATAAATGCATTTTCTTTCTTTATTTCTTTCTTTCTCCAAATGTCACGTATGCACCCGTTGGATCATAAGAAACGCGGCCGCTCGACGGGTTAAGGGTAAGACCAATGCTAACCTTACTTAGCAGTGGTCATCTTCTGGTTTTGGTCTGCAGTAGAAATTTTGTACTTACCCAATGACAATTGGTCTCGATGAAGTCTCCAGGTTCGTCCTTGGAATCCAGTCCATCATGGACGGTGCTCTCAGCAGCCGCTGATAATGGCTTGTTGCTGTGGTGGTTCTCCCGGTGACCCATTAGACCTTGGGGGGATTTCCGCTGCGTCATTCCTGATGCACTGTGGAAGAACGAAGAAAGATTATTGTAGCAGCTTATAATCACGTTTAAATGGTCTGGTCTGGTAAATTACGCATTGAACGTAGAGTGATTACTTTTTAAATTTTTGTCAACTTTGCTCTACATTTGGATTATCTCCTGCATCGTGGGTATGTTAACAAACATACAATTTCAATAACAGATCACACGCGGACTCAAAAGAACAATTTGTGAATCACATAAACCATAAATTGCTCTGGTTTGGAATTGATAGCAAGCACCTGGTAGCCCAGTTATTACACCCATCATTGACACATTTGTATGGCTACTCTGTCCTTGTAAAATTAAAATTAAATCTACATTTTTGTATTCGTACCTAAAAAAACTCTCCTTACAGCTCTTATATTCATACCTATCAGCTTCCATGACGCTAGTGATCTCAGGTTGCTGGGGAGGCTGCTGCAAATGCTGAGGAGGTGTTCCGTCCAGGGTTAAACCTGGCCGAACGTCCACTGGAGCACCCATTAGGAGTTGTGTCGGGGATGATATGTGAGATCTGGCGGGAATATTTATAATGTTTTATTCTTCTGTTCTTCGAGTATGGATTAAAGAACAAGTTTTTATTTCACTGAAGGGTTAATAACGTTACGATTTGCTTGATAGGTAGTCTATACACCAGAGTTTTTCCATGTGGTTAAAATTACCTTCTAAACTTTATGTTAAAAAGTTGCAGTTTCAAAGATTGCAACCATTAAGGTTTTTTTTTAAGGGGGGAAAATCATCGAATTACTGCTCCCGCCTGGGTGAGGCGGAAGGGAGTGTCAGACTCGTACTGACAAAAACCACCCCGTTCCTTCTCCTGCACGTCGAGCTGGAGCCCCGGTTACCCGTTAGGTTCTCCGCGACACCATTAAGGTATAGAGTTTCGTTGTTTACTAGTACATACGTCTAATTTGTAGACAATGAGTAATCTAACAAGACCCTAGAATTTCAAATCAATTTCCGTACATAATTAACCACACTTGAGTGCGGCTCAACTCATTATTACCTAAAGATAGCAGGCTAATACATGCAGTTTGATTACCATTGCTCTTTAAACACTAATCAACCGAATCGAGGTCTGCTAAATTCCAAAATATTGACGTCACTAATAAAACGTAGCTTACTCACAGAATTAGCGAATTTGTGAAATATTTTTGAGACACGATCTAGCAAAAATGAATTTAAACGTCTTATTTATAGAGATAAGAATCGTCTGGATTCAGAAAGGTCAAAGTGTTCTTTGACGTGTGTAATTGCTACCGGCATCAGAAATGTTATGTACGTAATAATTATTTTTTAGTTGATGTAATTGCTTTATTATAGGAATTATTTAGTATAGATAACTTAATATGTTTCTCCTTAATAGAGATCTTTTACAGTGATTTTAATAGACTTCATGATAGACTGTTAATTTTTTGATAGGCTGAGTAAAACAGCACCAAATAGGGATATTAAACCACATCGGCCTATTGCGCTTGATTATTGTTACCATTAGTCGTGCCGTGTACTATATTGCCTCCGTCGTGGTATAAAAAAATATCAAAATAATCTTTGGAGAAATTTGCGAATACAGTATCAAAAAGTTAATATTTTACCAACATTTCTTTACCCTTATTCTCAATTAAGATCATCAACAGCCTATAAATGCCCACTGCTGAGCAAAGCCTCTTCTCACAAAGATATCGTACTTTAATTTAACAACAAACTTTACACATAATTACATCAAGTATGACTCATTACATCGACTGCAACTAGCGTCAACCAAAACCACCAACAAAAGTCCCACTTTCAACTAAACATTCTCTTACCTATGGATCCCCGCCACGAGGTGCGCATGCGCAGCGTGGTGCGCGGCGGCGGCTGCAGCCTGCTGGTGGGCAGGGTCCATCAGAACCCCTCCCGCCAGCACCCCACTTCCCCCCACCACGCCCCCCCGCGCCAGCAACTGCTGCGCAAGAGACGCGTGCGAAAGAGACAGAGCTGGAGATATTGCTCCTGAAAAATTAAAAAAAAATGTGTTTGTTTAATTTTTTATCGGATCCATCATACTACCGTTATCATCAGCAAATGTACGATTGTGATGCTGAATATGATAGAATATAACTACTTTTATAAATTATGTACTTTTCGTTTTGTATACTCGTTGACGTCTAAAGGATTGAACACTTCTTTAGACATTCCTTTAGACGAAATAGCCTGAGATTCCTATATTCGAAAACCTCTCAACTTTTCTTTTAATCGATTGGTATCGATATATCAACTATATCAATATAAAAAAGCTTAGAAAAACATAAATAATAAATACCAAAAGAGTGCCAATGATCTTGAAACTCACCGGCACTAAGATGTCCATAGCTGCCTGTGGAAGCTGCTGAAGGTGCTCTCACAGCCAGGCTGGCAGGAGACGCCCTGATTACAGCTGCCAGGTCCAGAGACTCGGCAGAGTATGGACTCCAGGAAACTGCTCTCTTGCGGTTAGCAGATGCTCCTATAGCACCTCCTGATAACCTTAATCTGGTTGGTGAGGCTATTCTTGAACCTGGAGAGGAAATTTATATTGATTTAGTTTTAGGCTTTGAAGTTAAAGGTCTATCATGGGTATGAATATATCGTCTCCCAATCGACTTCGACCACGGTGAACTGTTTGTCTAAACGAACCCGGTAGTTACGCAGGAGTAGAAGATGTTATAGTCCACAAGTAAATGTGCAAACACAGGTGCAGTCACTATTCCCTTACTCAGTTTTTAATTTCGATACAACCGGAGGTTGATAAAGTGCTCCTGCACTACGTAGACATCCTCTCATTTAATGTACATAATATGTATACAGAAATGCAAAATCTTTTGATGACTTCTTTACAATGAACCTTAATAATGAAAATAAGCTGCTATTCCAAATACCATCGAAAAGTTTACGTCAACACTAAAAAGTTTACGTCAACACAAAACACTATCTAATCCAGATTATTTTTAGCAAAAACAGTTTAGAAGTCAATCAACTATTATTGAAGGAAATTAATAACTAAATTATAAGTCTGGGATGATTGATAGACTAATATAAAATCGTTGTATAGTTATTAAATGACTGAATTACTTCCGTGCTACTGATACAAGATTATAGCCAATTACAGACTAATCGTTCCTCCTAGATTTAATTTCGTTAACAGTTTTCTCTGCAACTGGTCTAGATATAAAAAATGCAAGATTTATATTTGTTCGTTCAACCATAGTAGCAGTGAAGTTTAATTTTTACGTAACTAGTGCGTACTATGATTAATCATTTCATATAAAGCACTCAACATGCTGTTCTTTAGTAGGGGCAGAAATTTCTAAAAGACAATTATATAAAACTTTATTTATTAGATTTGTATAGTGTATTATGTCTACGCTATTTCTGTCACGATATACATATCCATACATTTATCTTAACTATATGAAAAAAACCACTGATTCTATAATGTTACTGAAATCGACCTCATATTACTTTGTCATTTCAATGTATAAATTCAGTTTCTCATGTCCAAATGGACAATTGGTCTGCCTCGTTGGCCGAGAGCTCGAAACTGCACTTGCGGCGCCAAGGACACAGTAATACTTTATCAAAGTATTGCTTTTTAATAATTCTCAGTAGTTAGCACGAAGTCTGGAATTGTGCCCGGTGTATGGCAATAGACTCACCCTCTATTACATGGGACTCATAACATAAGTATTGAAAAGTGGGTGTTACATTGTACTATGACAGTGCTGTAATGTGTACCTCTTTTTTTTTTGGAGTGGGGAAAATCGTCCAATGACTTCTCCCGCCTGGGTGAGGCGGGAGGGAGTGTCAGACTCTTGCTGACTAAAAACCACCCCGTTCCTACACCTGCACTTCGAACCGGAGCCCCGGCAACCCGTTAAGTCTTCCGCGGCTGTAATGTGTACCTCTGCGTACCCCTTCGGGGATAGTAGACGTAATATTATGTGTGGTCTAATAAATTATCTCGACGACTCTCTCTGTAAGTACAGCATCAGTCAACAGACTTATTTTTAAAATAATTTTCTTACCTTCTAGACTAAGTTGAAAGTCTTGGCTAGCTAGTGTACTGCCAGCATGCAGCTCTGGATGCAAGCTCCTTGCTGCACTAAGGTATTCTAAACCTGAAACAATTAACACTATTTGTTATCCTTACTAATATTATAAATCGGAAAGTGACTTTGTTTGTTCTGCTTTCACGCCGCAACTACTAAATCGATTGCTTTGAATTTTTGCAGACGTAAAGTTCGAAGTCCGGATTAAATAATAGGGTACTTTTTATCCCGGAAAAGTTTGATATTCCCGAGGGAAAACAAAAGTATTGGTATAGATGGCGCTGTGTGTATTGGTATATGTCACATAGGCTACTATTTATCCTTTTGTGACGCGAGTGAAGCCGCTGGTAAAAGCTAGTTAATCATAAATATCAACGGTAGTTGCTAGAAAGTCGAGAAACCCCAAGAAGATTCCAGAAATGTAAATTATTTCATTTAAACTTGTCATAAACCGAAATTGAATCCAAGACCAATAAGTAAGCTTATGATTACGACATCATCAAGATAGTAAAACTAATCTATTCAATAAATAACTTGATTAAGTCATTGCTTATAATTTAAATTCATTCTAAATAAAATGCCAGAAATCTTGAATAGATTAAAACCAAAATTTTAGTCATATTCTTCAATCTCAGCTATCTAATTTCAATAAACTTAAAATGTAACGTCTTCATAGTCCATTTTAAAGGCCACAAATTAGCCTGGCCTTAGTCATGTGTCCGTAATAAGCCGAGATTGAGTTGTCACCATGTAGCTGACCATTTTGAATATAAAGTGGTCGATTAGCGCCGTATGTGATTAATGTGGTACCGGATGTCTTTACGAGCTATTTCGCGGGAACTGATTTCATGCTGACTAAATTGGGAATGTCCTAATATGTCGCCGCTAATTGGACACCCTACATAATGTGACAGTTCTGGACATGGCTGCTGCTATATTTGCATAGACAAGCATTCAATGTTAAACAGTGATAAACTACTTTTTGTGAGAAATGTTCTGCTCCATACATGACGCTGAAGTACTCGCACTAACCTCGATGCATTTCTGAGATTCAATAGAAAGCAGTGTGCAATTAAATTAAAGCTGTGTGTATTTTTGTAACATCTTTGTTCGATTCACATCGTTAACCGAACTCGAAAACGACTGCACTCACAAAAGCATTAGTCATCCTTATTAAAATCTATCCTTCATCGAGGAGGCGGCGTTTAAGTAACAAATTTCCATAATAATCACATCTCAGACGTACGAAAACAAACACGCGGCGGGTTCCAAACGAGAAAAAAAAACGAGCCAACCATTTGATTTGTTGATCACGCTTTGCCGGCTCCGAGGCGGGCGATTTGCCCAAAAATAATAGGTTGATGCAAAAGGCGTCAGCGGCCAACAATTTTGCAAACGTAAGAACGACCCAACAAGAAAATAATACCCAAATCCCACGAATATAACGTATGTGGTCTCCTTTTGACGCGCCGCCCGACTTCCAAAATTTTTATGTCTTCATCGTCATGAGAAACGGCGGAAAACGACATTCGTGTCCTTTTAAAATAAGAGAAAAAGATATCATCGATCGAATTTGAGGCCAATCGACTTGGCCACGAATTCCATTACCAGGCTATGGTCACCCTAACGACATTGTGGTAACAGAGCGCAAAAACTTTATTCGAAAACTGACTTTGTGTGTGTTTTTCTTAGAGGTGAATTTTGAATGTATTGTGTAGAAGCGAACTCGTTTTTGTACCAAAATCGATAGGTCGATTGGGGTCCATTTGATATTGATGTATTAATTTTTATCCGAGTCGATTGGGCGTAAAATTAGTATTTCGATGTTCGGTATCTAGTGGTTTCGTGGTCACGTTTAGCGTTAATATATGAATGTCAATGGCTTTGTTGGGCGGCGTCTTTGGCCGCGCGCGCACTGACTTTGTAACAGCGTATACTAATGAGAGTCGTTGTAAATTATGAGTTTGGTTGTTATTCGAATATGCGGCGAGATGAAGGCGTTACGACGTGAATTTGTAATGGCGGCGTAGGTATTTTTTACAGCTTTACCATTTTGAATATTCACGGGTTTATAAAAACCAAAGGATGTAATATTTTGTTTAATAATTGCAGATTTCCTCTGGATATCAAGTTGAGATACTTAACTTTAAACTTTGAAATGTTATTCATGCAGTTTCATTTAAATAAAGTTATTTTGTAACAACTAAAACAAAAAGACAAAATCTAAACGATCAAACAAATTCATTTGACACTTAATTTCCTCAAAAGCTCTAGACAAAACAGGTACCGCCCAGCGTTAAAATTCACAGGAAAAAACGGTTCTCATTAAACCATCAATGTCATAAAACGATTAGTATGATCGTTAGTTAGGGTACTGCAAAAAACCGACCGTGTTTACTAATGAAGTTTTTACACTGTGGTCCAAAGAGTGTGACCACAAAGTCTACACCAGCGGTTCCCAACCGATGGTCCGCAAAAGATAAAATATGGTCCGCTAAATGAAAATGACAATACAGAAGACTAATCTCTATCCAGTACCTAAATATCAGGATTAAAGCTCGAATTAAACTCATGTCAAAGGAGACAGCCACGCAGCAAAGCATGTTGTAAATCCATAGATTCTTTTAGATTATCTAAAAGTCACTATTTTTATAAGTAAATGAGAAAATCCTACTGTAAGAGTGTAGGACAATATGAAATTAGTAATAGTAATAGTGGTCTAACCGTATAAGAATGATATAAAAGCGGTCCTTCACCAGAAAAGGTTTTTTTTTTAAGGGGGGAAAATTTTCGAATGACTGCCCCCACCTGGGTGATGCGGGAGGGAGTGTCAGACTCTTACTGACTAAAAACCACCACGTTCCTTCTCCTGCACATCGAGCCGGAGCCCCGGTTACCCGTTAGGTTCTCCGCGACACCAGAAAAGGTTGAGAGCCCCTGGTCTACAGGTAGTCGGTGTAAGAAAACTGCTTCATGGAATTGAAAAAAGGACAAAATAGTTAAATAAAGTTATCCCCTTCATTTAATTTTTGATTGACTTCGGTCTGATTGAAAGATATCAAATTGTTAAGTGGATGTAGAAAATAGCTATAGGCTAATCTGTATGATTAGAGGGATACTTGACGATTAATTTTTGATGCGATGCGTGTTTATCTTTGGATTTATAATAAGGCTTTTATTAAAACTGGTTCAACAGAAACATGCTTTTATATAGGCCATTGGACGTCGTGCCAATATATTTATAAAATTATTGATTTTGCCTGCCTCATTGGCCGAGTGGTCGCAAGTGCGACCACCGGGGCAAGAGTCTGGAATTGTGTCCGATATTATGGCAATAGGCTCACCTTCTATTACATGGAACTCTTAATATAAATAGTGAAAAGTGGGTGTTACACTGTACAGTGGCATAATGGGCACCTCTGTCTGTCTTTGGGGATAAAAGGTGATGTTATTATGAATTATTGATTTTTCTTTGGCAATGAATACTTTTTATAGTATTGAAAATCGCAGCATTTAGAGCTATATTGACTTTCCTAATCACCAGTTTGAATAGGTCTTCAACACCATTAGTTTAAAAGAAGTGATCCTTTTCAGATTTGATCGTCTCAGGAAGGCTATAGATGGCAGTATACTGCGACTCTTAGGACCACAGAAGATAAAGCAAAATACTGCTATTAAATAATACTTTTATCAAGATTATTCTCAACCTATCAAGTTATAAACACCATATAGTATCAAAACGTCTTAATAAACTTTGAAATAAAAATAAAAACTACATAATGTGACGCATACATCGCTTTAACAACATGAAATTATATTCTTAACGGCATAATTATAGGTTTTGTAAACTAGCAACTTTTCTCTCTTTCCCTCGTGTTTCGAACCAATCTTTCTATCTCGTTCTAATCGTCCTTTTCGATTTTGTTTCGCGAGATGATCGCTGATGATTTATTCATAAACGTTTATATTTATTTTTTAGGGATCCTTTGGATGTTAACAGGACTTCAATGGAGAGGTGATGTCTAGCTGTCTGTCAGGTCGTGAGACTTTTCGTAAGACGAAAAGTTTCAATTCTGATGATATACTACGTCTGTGCACTTTAAGATTGAAGTCACTCACTATCGTCTGAACAATGTAACATTATAGTGTAACATAACATCACATCTTTTATCCCCAAAGCCCATGGACACCCGGAACACCAGAGGCGTTACAAGCGCGTTACCGGCCTTTTGCGGATTGTTGGAGATTTAAGTATTGGGGAGATTGGGGAAGGCAGGAGGGTTATTGGATCTCCGGTAACCTCACTCACACGACGAAACACAACGCGAGCGTTGTTTCACGTCGGTTTTCTGTGAGGCCGTGGTATCACTCCAGTCGAGCCGGCCTATTCGTGCTGAAGCATGGCTCTCCCACACTTGAGGGTACATTATACATACAAAAATATTTAATTCTGTTCGGAACCCACTAAAAAATTTAACTCACACTTGATTAGCCTTTTATAAATAATTTTCTTAGAAGTGGTTTAGAACTGTGATTTGAACCACTACTGGGTTTGAGTTAAATTAGTTGTTAAGTTGGGCTTGAAAAAGGTTTTTGAACGAACTTTAGTTGTTTTTTTAAACCGTTTAACTTATTCTGTGGTGATTAACTTCACTGAGTTCTGTGTGGCCGTGTTTAAGAGTTTGATTAAGAACAAGGTTCAATTATTTATAGTTGGTGCGACTGCTGAGTAAGGGGTCTTGGGTTCGATTCCCGGGTCTGGTAAAGTATTACTAGGTTTTTTTTGAAGTTCTCAGTAGTAGCACAGAGTCTGGAATTGATATCCCCGAAGGGGTAGGCAGAGGTGCACATTACGGCACTTAGTGCCACTGTACAATGTAACACCCACTTTTTACTATTTATGTTATGAGTCCCATGTAATAGGGGAGCCTATTGTCATATATACCGAGCAAAATTCCAGAGTCCGTGCTACCACTGAATTATTTTAAAAACCAGTAATACTTTGCCCGACCCAGGAATTGAACCCCTTGCTCGGCAGTCGTACTGGCCGTAAATATGAAATGTCGTAA